ATAAGTTCATTATCGGAATTAAAGGATATTCTCATTCCATCAGTTGACTGGATAGTAATTCCAAAATCAGTCAAAAAAGCATCTGTGCCAAGGATACATATTTGGCACATATCCCTCTTAGCACCTTCTTGATTAAAATCTCCCGTGAGGAAACGAATTTCCCCTCTGTTTCCCTCCATTCAGTTAACATATTTTAATTTCTTATACTCTTTTGTTGCCATTAGTTAATTTTAATAATTTAGTATATATTTATTTTATTAGTTCTTTTTATTCCTTATTTTTTATAATTAATTTTTTTGTCTTTTTACCTTTTCTTTTAATTAATAACCCCACGATAATTAAAGCATTCATGGCTAACAAAACAATTAATCCCCACCATCAATTAATCAATCTTTCTTTCTCTTTCACTAAGTTATAATTAATACTTTCTCGCTGGTTTAGTTCTTCCTGAATGAGTTGTTTTTCTAATTGGATAATTTGTTGGTAATTAGTGGTTTGTTGGATTTTCTTTTGGTAAGCGTGGAGGAGAGCGGGACGGAAAAGTTTTTCTCAATTGGCTAAAAATTGAGTTTTAATGGCAGTTCATTCCTCATTATCTTTACTAATAATAGTGGGCGGTTGCTTTAATAATTCTCGCAAATTAATAATTTCTTGCTCTTGCTGGTTTAGTTCCTTTTGGAGTTTTTGGTAATCTTGCTGGGACTGGTTTAATTTGGCATTTAAATCATCTCGTTCGGTTTTGATTTGCTCGTAGTCAGTGTGCGAGCAGTTAATTTGGTTAAGTGGGCAAACATGGGGTTCCGGTAAATGAGGCAGGGAGCAAGGCGGACAAGTATGAGTAGGAGGGTTAAGATAGAAATTAATTAAAGTAGTTAAGTCAGTTGGCGGAAGGGGTAAATTACTTAAATCAGTTACCTTTAAAATGTTAGATAGGTAATTTTCGTAAGTGTCAAAATTAGTATGAGTAGTTTCATGGCAACCTTGGCAAGTATGGGAAGGGGCGGAACAAACATGGTTATCTTTTCAGTCTTGTAAATTGTTTTTGTCCTGGTCTAACTTTTGAATATCGGTTTGATAACCTTTAATTAGTTGCTGATAGTTGTCGTGGTCTTGCTGGCTTTGTTTTTTGGCTTTTCGTTTTTGAGTGGCTAAACGTAGCAAGGCAATTCGGTAGTTTTTTAAATGTTTTTCTTTGGCGGATTTTTCGTTGGTTAAATTACTGTTTAGAACTTCGGCTTGTTCTTGGAAATAAATGTTTTGTTCCTCATAATCACTATTTTCGGCTTCGGCTTGTCTTAATTTTTGAATAGTTTGAGTATGAGTAGTTTGCTCCTGAATTAATTGTTGCTGAATTTGTTGTAAATCTTTTTGGGCTTGTTCTATTTCTGTCGGAGTGGGACAATTAGCATGATTTTTGGTGATAGTGGCTAATTCCTGCTCGGTAATCGTTAACTGGTCTCTCTGTCCTTGATATCGGTGTTGAAAAATGTTTCGTTGCTCGGTTAGTTGTTGGATTTGCTTGGCTAACTTTTGGGCATTTTCTTTTTCAGTAGTGAGGTTATTATTCAACTTGTCAATTTGCTCTCGGGCTTCCTCATTCCGCTCTTCATTAGTTCCTAATTCGGCAGTTAAGATAGCAATTTGGCTGGTAAGTTCCTCAATTTTCGCGACGGATGCTTGCTTATCGCTGGTTAAATCTTGGTTGGTAAGTTTTAGTTCGCTTAACTGGTTTTCAGCCTTAATTAATCGTTCTTGGATTTCATCTCTCTCCCGCTCTAATTTTATATAATTAGTATTTAAACTTTCTCACTTTTTCTCGGCTTCGATTATTGCTGCTTCGCTTGCTCCTAATAATTCCGCATCACTTTTAATTTTTAATTCGCGAATGGCTAACTCATCATCTTTGGTTGTTCTTAATGCTTCTAACTCCTCGGCTAATCCTCCACTAATATCTTGTCAATCTCCTAATTCTTGCTTAAATTTTTCTAACTCGACCCTTTTACCTACTAATTCCGTTGCTTGGTCTTGCCGCAATTTTTTTTCCTCTTCCAATGATTTCTCTAACTTGTTAGCTCTATTTTGTTCTCTTCATCAGTCCCCAAAATTACTATCTCTTTTCTCAGTAATTCATTTCACTTTCGCTTCTAACTCGGCTATTTTGCTGTTTTTTTGGTTAATTTCGTCTTCCGCCTCTTTTTTTGCTTGGTCTACTTTCTTGCTTTCGGCTTGTTTTCTCTCGTTAAGTAGTCTATTATCCTCAGTA